ACTCTCTCTCAAGTAGATGCATAATAAATAGGAACGGACGGCCCTTTCAAATAATCCACAATCAAAACATAGATGAACAATTAGAGATTAACAACCAAATTCAATTATATTAATAAAACAACCAAGTCATCCCCAACGGGTTCCACCAAAACCTTAGATTAAGGTTTTTAGCTACTCATGACAATGGGGAAATAAACTACTAAAAGATTCATCATCATAAATTGCAAGAAAAATAAAGAAGAATAAGAGTAATGATGTTTTGGGTGATCTCTCACACTTGTTTTCCTTGCCAAAGTACTCTCTAAAATATTACCTGCCTCCCTTGGGCGAGTTCTAGTATTTAAATATGGTTTTGGGCTAAGAATTCCGGAATTTGCACTTCAGCCCTTCAATTTCTCGTCGCCTGCCGCGGTCCGGCCGCGCCCACGCTAGGACCGCGGCCAAAAGGCCTCTCTGAATCTCATATAGCAGCTCGCCGCGGTCCGGCCGCGGTTACACCGGGACCGCGGCAATTCACCTCCAGGCCTTGTTTGTGTATTTCACATGGTTCATTTGGCGACTTTGGTGCGATTGGCTTCTTTTTCTTTCATAAATGATACAAAACCACTCCATAGCCTTCTTCTACTGTATGTAACCTGAAAAACATGAAAAGCACCAATAAGAGCATTTTGCTATCACTTTTACAATAAATACTCTACAAGAAGGTGGTTCTTTTGAGGCTTAATCATAGTTCAATTCACCTATTATCAGTAGACTATAAGAATTTAAATAAGGCATGCTCCAAGACTCATTCCCGTTGCCAAACATCGATCAAATGATTGATGTTACGATCGGGAACGAGTTAGTGAGTTTTATTGATTCTTATTCCGGGTATAATCAAGTTAGGATGAACCCGGAAGATCAAGAGAAGGCCTTTTTCATCACAAACTTTGGCACATATTGCTATAATGTGATGCCTTTTGGGCTTAAAACACCGGAGCCACTTATCAGAAGTTCATTAGTAAGATGTTTGAAAAACAAGTAGGTAAGACGATGGAAGTCTATATTGATGACATATTACATAAGTCTCTTAATGCAGGAGATCATATGGAACATCTCCAAGAGACGTTTGACATTCTGAGAAAGTACAACATGAAGCTCAACCCAGAGAAATGTACCTTCGGGGTTGGGTCCAGTAAGTTCTTGGGGTTTCCGGTCTCACAAAGAGGGATAGAAGTAAACCCCGACAAAAAAAAATCCATCGAGGATATCCCAGACCAGATAACAAGTGTGAAGGAAGTACAAAGGTTGATCGGTAGGTTGGTAGCTCTAAGCAGGTTCATCTCAAGGTCCTCGGAGAAGTGCCACCACTTCTTTTCACTTTTAAAAAAGAAAAACGACTTCGAGTGGACTCCGGAATGACAACGGGAACTGAAGGACCTAAAAAGGTACCTATCCAGCCCTCCGTTGTTATCAAAACCGGGGGAAGGTGAGCAACTGCTATAATTTGTGCCTCTTTTACCTCGTCAATGTCAGCTATGATGCTTATTGAGTACATATGGTTGGTTGTACTCATACTACACTCTGCACTTCGTGTTACAAATCCAGGTACAGCTGGACGTGGTGATTTTTATCTTGGTGCTAGTACCTACTCGGAGACTTTGAGGTAGCTGTTATGATGCCTGGAGACCTTGACTCTCCTACTTTTCATTTTATTCAGTACTGCTCTATTACTCAGGCAGTTGTATTAGAGTTTCAGACTATGTTGATACTTAGTAGCCCATGTACTCATTGACATCAAGTTTTGGGGTGGTTGTAGTATAGATTCAGCTACTTTTATCATATATTTATAAGATTCTTCCGTTGTTGAGTTTACTAATGTATATTTCATTCAAGTGTTTAGCTGTTATGTGATTGTTGGCTTGCCTAGTAAGTGTGTTAGGCAAAATCACGAAAGGTTGTGATTTTTTGTTCGTGACAATCTTATAGGAGGAAACTACACAAGATGCCTACGTCGGTCATTTATATTACCTGTTTCTACCCTTTCCTAAAATAATTACATAAACTGCCTAAACGATCAAAACAAATTACCCGCCTACTCACAACCCATCCCCTATCCCTTTCCGTTTGCTAACTAACCTTTTATTTAATTTACATGTAGGTTAGATCCTTCACTCATCAACTTGTAACTTAACATATCCCAAGGTTGTTTCATTTGTTACACTCATGTAATGCCATATATCTCAGATTTAGCTATATTATATTTTTAAATTAAAATTAGCCCAAAATAATTATAAAAATTTGCAGGGCAGACAAGTTAGATTTCAATGAAGTATCAAGGCAAAAGTAACATCAATTTACAATATACTACAACGGTATATTGTAATAATCGAAGAAGAACATAGTTACTCCAACAGTATACTATTACAGTATACAATATATTGTTATAGTATATTATAATAATATGCAATATACTGTAACAGTATGCTGTAATAGTATACAATATAATATAATAGTATACTTATTACCCGTAAATTCACTTGCCTTTTCCCTTTTAATTTGCTTTAAGCTTTTACCCAGCGTGAGGGGCAAATTGAAAATGCAAAAAAAAAAAAATATATATAGTATGCTATATAATGTAACGGTATATTCTTACAATTAGATCCTTTTAGAATTTTTGAAATTGTTATTGACAACTGATATTATTTCAGTTTAATAATTGAATTAATGTTTTTTTAACTCCTTGCGTACAATTGTATACGCTGTTGGTATAGCTATATACTATACCGGTATCATATGTTAGTTAATATTTTTTGGTTGTATTAGCTACATTTAATTGGTACACAATTTGATTTTTTTTTAGTAATAATATAAAAAAAAGAATAATAAAAAATAGTGAAAACGGTAAATGAAATTAGATTATGAAGAGAAAAAGAATTTAAATAAAAGGAAGTTAAATGAAATTAGAAAAGGATAAAAGAAGAAAATAAGAAGAAAACGAGAAAAAAGAAAAGGAGAAAAAAAAGCATAGAAATAAAAAAGAATTGGAGAATAAAGAAAAAATTCTCCACAAAAACTACTATGGGTAGGAAATGTAATTAGTTTATGGGTAGAAAAATAAATGGGTTGACAAGGATAAATAGTTTTGTTTTTGTGGGTAACTGTGTCAAAACCCCATCTTACAGACCTATTTATTTTTAAAATCTTAATATATCACTTTGAATTTGGGTCAACCTTTTAACAATAGCAACTAACATATAATTATTCTTAATACAAAATATATGTGCATGTCCATACATTCTTACAAACTTATCTTGGTCCTTTCTGCCTTTGAATTGGACCAAATGCAATAGGGATGGAGCGAGTCGAGCAAATCCTGGTAGAAGCTCATACAGATTTTATGTACGTGATTCCATGGGTGATCTTGTATGTGCCCAAGCCAAGGAAATTCATGTGTCCACTAATACAGAGGTGGAAGTTATTAGTGAAGCTCTTAGCTATTTGACTTGCTAATCATTTCGTCTAGGTTATTATTGGGACGGACTCACTACTGATAAAGAATATCCTTGAGGATAGTCGTTTGCCAATATACTCAATGGCTAGACGTGCGACACATATTAGCGTTGCTTACCGGCAACGGAAGCTATTTGGTTCTCTCCCAAGACCGTAGAAGCTCTGATACCAATATGATCAAAAAATATTTTCTTATAAATCTATGAATGCTCTCTATAATTCTCTATTCCTCGTCCACTCTTTTTCACACATACAATAAGCTAGCAATACCCATATTTATAATAGTACGAAACCTATTTTAATTAGAAACAGGAAACTTATTTCTATATAATTGTGACTACAAATCCTAACTAGACATGAATTAAATAAACTAGCAAATATTAAATTCTAAACAATTAAAGTTTCCTACTATAATTTGAATTAGTTTTCCAACATATGAGATGCCGTTGCAACAATTGCTCAGTCCATAAGGGAGAAGATGCGGCAAATTTGCATATTTCCGCGAAGGAAATGCGTTGGCAGATCATCTTGCTAATAGAGCTTTTGCGATTGAAGGGGCATTGAGTATTCACTCATTCTGTGAGCTTATATAAAAGGGAATAGCAACACTTAATTTAGACAAGAGTCAGTGTCCATCTTTGTGAATTAAGCATGTGAAGTCGAGATCATGTTGGTAACTATACTGGAGTTAGCAATGGCATTGGTCTCCCAACGCTCTTTAGTGCTACAGATGGTGGTGCAATTAGCATTAATTCCAGATTAAGCTTTGGTTGGAGGACAGGTTGTTGGTCACGGTTCAGACAAGATAAACTTGAGCAATTGGTATGGAATGAGGCGGCGGAGAATCAACATTACTTTCCCTTCTGTAATGTTTCGCGAGTCTCAATTCTTCACAGATGCTAGATTGTCAGTTTGTACTATCAACTTACTGCATTCTATAAGATCTAAATTAATATTAGTATTTCTTATCTTTGTAAGTTTTTATTTCTTATATGATGTAAGGGGCGATTTCGATTTTATTAATAAAATGAGCCACTACATACCTTGTCCAGTGTGTGTGTGTGTGTGTGTTTTTTATTATTAAAAAAAAGCTCTACTATACCTTTATATCATCAAATAATAAAACATACCAGACAATTCTAATTCGGTCCCAAATACATAAGCAGATTGCAAAAGTAGTATAGCTAAGAAAAAATTCCATTGCATAATAACAGTGACACCAATAAGAAAAACTAATGTAAGATCTATTAGTACCAAATATCACCAATTAGCACATCATAATGTTTTTATTAATTTAAGTGGTTCAAACTTATTTACTTTTATTTTATGTTATGAAATATTGATATTGTGCAAGATGAGTTGTTATAACGTGGCTAAACTTACAGTGACAATTTTATCATGTGGCAGCCCAATAACATTTTGCAATTAATTTTTGTTATTACTATATATATGTTTATTAATTGAGTTATCTTTTCATTACAAAAATTACTTGTATGACTTTAGTGCAACAAACTGAAAGTTGGGCACCCATCCATAAATTTATCTCACTATACGTAGACAAACTGAAATTCTTACCGTATAAGTGGACAATAAATTTCAGCCCTAAATTGGTAGAAGACAAATTCTACCTAGAGAGATATTTGCTTCAAAAGATAGGATGGAAAGAAAAATAAAAGGATATGATGAAAAGGAGTAAAAGAAAAAAGAAAAAAGAAAAATGAAATTTAAAAGATGTAGCAAGAGAGCTACTTTGGGTGGTTCTTAGCTATTATTGGTGTGTCCTCCCAACTTTTGAATTCTATCATTAGCAACAGAAGCCTGCATTTGGCGCAAAATGAACCATCATCAGTCTCATCTATATTACTGTAACTTGTTGCAATTCCCCTATTTGTGCCATAATTAAGAAAAATATTCTTCTACTATGTGGTTTTATTTAATTTAATAGTTATATTCACTATCTTTTTAAAATATAGAAAGCAAACAGGAAAGGGGAATAACTCTACTATTTTTCCAAATATTAAATGAACTATATACCCTGTTTAAGATAAAAAGAATATACCGTCCTAGAATATTATGCGAAAAATGAAATACACAAATAAATAAAGAAAGAAAGAAAATATCAGTTACCTCATTTTCCCAATCAGTTTTTGCTATCATCCAAATTAGGACAGAGGTTTGGGAAGTAGTTCCTACCAGCATTCCATACCACATACCCTGACAAATATAGTCAACAACAAAATGAGAAATCTTAAACAAAATACTACTACAATCTTTTCAATATCATATGCTACATCTGTTTGGGTCCAGTGTAAACGAAATACTAATAGCCTGTTTGGCCAAGCTTTTTTTTGGGCCAAAAGTGTTTTTTTTTGTCAAAAGCATTTTTGGCCAAAATTTGAGGTGTTTGGCCAAGCTTTTGGAGGGAAAAAAAAGTGTTTTTGAGGTGAAGCAGAAGTAGTTTTGGAGAAGCAGAAAAAAGTAGCTTCTCTCCAAAAGTACTTTTCTGAGAAGCACTTTTGAGAAAAATACACTTAGAAGCAGTTTTCAAAAGCTTGGCCAAACACTAATTACTGCTCGAAAGTGCTTTTCTAATTAATTAGCCAAAAACAAACTACTTCTCACCAAAAGCACTTTTTTTAAAAGTACTTTTGAGAAAAACACTTCTCAAAATAAGCTGATTTTAGAAGTTTGGCCAAACGGGTTATAATAAATACAAGTAGTACTCTATCGTTTGTTCTTCTTTTCCTAAAGTAATAAATAAGATGAGAGAAGGGATTAGCACCTGAATGCCCAATTTGAAGAGGAAGGTAAGCAAAAGACCCAAAGGGATACCAAAGAAATAGTAGCACACTATGTTAACATAGGCCACATGTTCTTGCCAACCTGCTCCAATAGCCACCCCTGTTGTCACAAAGAATTGCACAATGGTAACATGTAACAGTAACAAAAATATAATTATTCACTTTACACTGGAAGATTAATGTCATCCTCTACAACTCAAATCAGTGTATGATAGGTCGAATTGGCATTGGTTATCGTGTTTCAACCTTATAATTCGTAACAAAGAATGGGAAATTACCAGAGAGCGTAGGTTGGAGACTGTTAACGAAAAGAGTGGCTCCTAATATAGGAGTAAGATCATACACAGCCTGCTGGACTTGTGAATTATTGGTAAACAAAGCTGGATAGTGGTTTCGAGCAGCGAAAAGTAGGACTGTCAGAAAGGCACCAATTGCAAGTGAAGTGATTGAGACCACTAGCACTGAGAATTTTGCTCTTCTTGGACGCCCTGCTCCTAGTTCATTTGATACCCTCACGCTGCAACAATTAAAATTCAGTGTTGAATGCCTTTATGCGCGTTATCTGTTATTAGACTGAAACAAAAAGGAAATACAAACCTTATAGCTGCATTGAATCCAATACACAACATGAATGTCCACCCAACTATGTTTGTACTGCAAATTCAGTCTTGTTAGTTCATGTGATGCAGGTCAAATCAATGATCTAAACTGCATTATAGGATCTGAGTGAACTGACCATATGGAAGTTGCATCCACTGCGATATCTGCATTCTTTAAGTATCCAGCAGACAGAATGAGCGACATAAAGTACCAATATTCTAAGCTGCAAACATAGCAAAGAAGACATCTCAAAGTTTAACTACTCACATCAAACAAGTGAAAACAGAACAATAATATATCAAATCCTCTTACTATTTATTTCATGTTCACAATCACTGCTAAAGAAATAGTAAGTTCGCAGTATAATTTTGTTTTTTGATAACCATGGTGTTCGTACCAGCTTGCACGCATCTTGATTAATTTCATGGGGTACCTACTACCTTCCACCAGTCCGAACCAGCTTGCGCGTACCTAGGATAATTCCATGGGATACCTGCTACCTCCACAAATATATGTATCGGGTAACTAATCCACCAAAGCTTGAAAGATAAGAAGAAAATCACCTAGTATTTTGTCTCGGCTAGAATTTGAACCTGAGACCTCAATAATTCTTAACCCTCACTTTGACCACTAAGCCACACACTCGGTGTCTTTTACCTTTGCTTCTCCGTGTAAACATGAAAATCAGACAGCACACAAAGGGTGAAGCGAAAAGTAAATTGTTCTTGTTTTGCCAGTGAGTAGGGGAGAATGAGGTCAATCTGTTCAGCATGATTTATTCAGCCAGACTTTTGCCTCTTTGCTGGATTTCTTTTTCATTTCCACATTCCCAAATCCAAAAACTCTTCTACTCATTCTTCGTTCTCCTTATTCCCTACTCTTCCCCACTAATATGCAACAAAATTAAATATTGTTCTGCGTAACTCTCACGTAGATAATAGATTGAACACCTATTGATGCAAATTAGCCTCTTCTTCAATTCTTTGCTTGTGTTTCAAAGCTAAATTGGATCGGTATGATAAAATTGACTGGATTGTGCAATGGTTGCGATGATTTTCTCACATTAATACTCGTTTAGCTCCAAAATGAGAGAAGGCTCGGAATATGACTATTATATTAGTCCCTCTGTTTCAAATTAGATGAGGTATTTTCCATTTTATCTGTTCCAAAATAAATGATACATTTCTAAATTTGAAAATAATTCTACTTTAAACTCTTCATTTTACCTATTTTTTACCATTAATAGGAAGTTTTTATAACCACAAAAATATTATGACCCCACAAATTTTTACCCCTTAGCTAGCTTTTAAGACCATAAATTTTTAAAATTTTTTTTTTTCTTAAATTCCGTATCGAGTTAAAGTACCTAATCTAAATTGAAGGAGAGAGAGAGATAGAGTAATTAACATACCACTTCACTTTCGAGAACATTTTTAGAAGTTTTTCAAAGTAAAAGGTTAGTGCCAATATGGTAGGTAAACATTGATAGAGCCATTTTTCTAGAAACAAGTAGAAAACTACCTGTTTAGTTCAAAGAAATTATCTTCACAAAATAAATAAATAATTAAATAAATAAAACAGGACAGATGAATAGAAACTTACCAAATCATAATACCAGATGCAAGGGATAATCTAACAAATTCCCAGAGATGATGAAAAGCCTTCCAAGAAAATCCAGACCAAGCGTCACCACAACTCCCCAAAAAAATATACAAAAGTTTTCCGATGACCATGAACCACCACGAGCCGTTCAGAACCGCCGCGCCGGCCGGCAAGCCCCAGCCTAGCTTCAGCATCAAAAGCCAAGTAAAAAAAGTATGCAAAGCAAATGCAACACCGGCTATAACAGCCATGACCATTATCTTGCTCTGAGCTTGCAAAAACTTCATAATTGGGAATTCCAAAGCAAATGAAAACACTTGTGGTATCATCCACAACGCGAATTTCCCCGCCCACCTTGAGATGTTTTCGGGCTGACCGATTAACATTAGAATTTGGGTAGCGAATATGTTGATAAGAGTCAATAGTATTGCTGCAGTATTGAGGATTATCCATGACCTTTGCATGTAAATCCCTAACATATTTAGCTCTTTTGCTCCATATGATTGCCCACATAACGTCTCCAATGCGCTTCCCATTCCCAACTGTTAAAAATGGATTACAACCAAATTATTTTCTTGAGGATAAAATTAATAAAGCCAAATAATATAGATTTATCTACCAGTACGCCCTCTGCGATTCCCATAATAACCGAGTTCTCAACGGAGACAGCAGCAAGTTGAATGGTTCCAACATGGCCAGCAAAGAGTTGAGTGACAGCGCCCAAAGAGTACTGGCAAAGGGAGGTGAATATCGCGGGTCCGGCCAGGTACCAAAGTTTCTTGGACTCATAGTTGAATTCCCGGAAAAAGTTTCTGATACCATTAATGGGGAGGATGTCATCTTCATCAGATGGCCAATATTTTGGAATTTCATGTTTTGAGAGGAGAAGTGGTACCTTAGTTTCCTCCTCCATCCTGGTTTTGTGAACTTGACTAAACATGGTTTAGACAGAGGCTATAAAAGGGATGCATGTGGGGTACTTTTAGAGAGAACAAGACAAAGGGTTTGGAGGGAAGGGGTAGGGGAGACGAGAAGAACAAAATACATATGGTTTAAATGGGTAAAAGTACATGTTCCCTCCATCTCATCCAGAAAGTGAACTCCACCTAACCCCCTCAATTAGTTATTATAACGATTTTCTAAAAGCTTTCTTAGGTCTCATTTGTTTGCACTTAATGGAGGTCTGAATCTTAATCATTCAGATCTCAGACATTAAGTGCATTTGTTTTTAAAGTCTGAATCTTAATTATTCAGATCTTAATCATTAAGTGTGTTTGTTTTTTTTACTTCACAACAACTTAATGGGTCCGAATAGGTCTGTATGATTAAGATCTATAACAGAGACTTAATTTCATTAAGATGCTATCACATATTCATTATTAATTGCTTCCACCGCCTACCATTATCAACTACCACCATGCCACCACCACCAACATACTCAACCACCACCCACCACCACGCCACCATCATCCTCAATCATAGCCTCCACTATCGACCATCCCCACCACTCCGACCACCATCATTTTGACCCACAATCAACACTCATCCGCCTCAACTACCACAACTGACCACCCCATCACCATCAACAACCACATCGGACACTGCCTATCATTATAACCTACCACCACCCACCCACCACCTTCCTCAATCACAACTACTACCACCACCCGACATTATTAACTATCACCACCCACCACCACTATCCTCAATCATAATCGCTACCACTACCAATCACTACTAGCTACTAGCATGAACCACCATCATCAACCAAAACTACCACCAACCACCGCCTCTAGTCGGCATTCAATTCACCCGTTAGCCATCACCACCAACAACTATCATATTTTTAAAAACTATACATTTTTATTAATAAAATATTAGATTAGTTAGTATTTTATTTGAATTTTACGTTTATCAATTTTTAAATAAAGATAAATTTTATACATTTAGATGTTAAAAATCAAACAGTCTTAATTATTTCTGTTCAGAACTTAATACACATCTTAATATATTCAGATGTGTATTCAGATTCAGATGTCTTAATCTTAATACACATCTTGATATTCAGATGTGTATCCAGATTCAAACGTCTTAATCTTAAAAAAACAAATGAGGCCTTACTCCTTTTCCTTTTCGTCCGGTTTGAATTTTGTGAATTGAGTCGGTTTACCTTTAAAATAGATAACAACTAAATTTATATGCGATTTTAAAGATATGTATTGATTTAACACAAATAATTAAATTGTTAGATAAACGTATTAAAGATAAAATGAATAGCCAAACCAGTTATGACGTTAAGGTCGGACTCGTATTTAAGCTGAACAATAATTTTGTCCTCGACCGGACCCTCGATTCGAAGCCAAATGTAAATGAAGAACCAAGATTAATATAAGAACTTTTCAATAACTAGAAAGCAGAGAAAATATTTGTATTGCTTTGATATGCGTGTTACAATGTCTACATTGAATAAAAATCTTCCCCTTTATATAGTAGGGGAGTTTTACCCCTAATACAATTCTAAAAAAGGTAAAAATCTTCCTTGTACGTCAATCACTGATACACTACTGACACCCTGCGAGATTTGTGTCGTGATATCCAGTTGGGTGTGGATATCACGGCCCTCTGTTAGTCGTGTGCAATCGTTTGTAGTGCTTTCCGAGGTCTTGGAGCTCGTTCCGGGTTCGGGGGTGTTGTCTTGTCAGGCCCGGTGGCAAGTACCCTATCCCAGCCTCGATTAAAAGAGCTCTCAGATTCAGTCTCTATCTCACACATTCATAGTTCTTACTTCATTTGACTTACCGGGAACTCATGGTTTGTGCTAACCCCGAGTTCACTCGTATACAGATAGTCCCCTTGTTTCTCAGAGAGTAGGTTCGCCGAAATGATGGGAAACGATATATGAACCCCGGTTCCTTCCTTCGTACGTTACAACCGAGACGATGAATAAGCCGAAACGTCCCATCAGTCGGGTCGTTCTGACTCTGAACACGTGTCGATCATCGGCTGGTCGCCTCCGAATATGAAACGTCGTGTATTGATTACATTTTCTCCTATAAAAGCTTCGACCCTTTGTACTTCTTCCACTTTCTGATCCTAGCTTTTACCTTCGAATTCTCTAGCGGCAATCAACTCTTTCAAATCTTTATATCTTTATCTTTGATCTTCAAATCTTCATAACTATTCTTAGCTTCCTACCCAGATCTTCATCCTACCTTCAAACCTTCATACTTTTTCCTTTAAACCTTCATACCTTTCCTTCAAATCTTCATATCTTATTCCTTCAAACCTTCATACTTTTCCTTCAAATCTTCATATCTTCCTCCAAACCTTCATATCTTTCCTTCAAATCTCCATATTTTCCAGATCACGATGGCTAAGACTTCCAAATCAGTTCCTCAGCAGGCTCCCTCTTCATATTCCCACCCAGACACAGGCACCGAGGCGGCCATTCCCAAGATGGTTGCTCTCGAGATGGATAACCCCGAATTGACTGCTACCGAAGCGGCCTTAGAGCCCCCCATGAAAAGCTTTATACCCGGGGGTTGTTCAATTGGAGACGACTTCAAAGTCGAGAAGGCCTCATCCAAACAAGACTGAGGTGAATGGGCATCAAGATATATATGCTCCATTGCCAAAGATACCCTTCCCATAGTCCGAGAGGACTGTAAATGGGAAGGAAAGGGCGTGGTAGTCCCCGGGCCTAAGGACGATATTACTACCGTGTTGAGGGGTACTTAAGTGTTTACACTTACCTTTTCACATTGGGCCCGACCGGTAGACCCAGTAGTCCTGGCCTTTTGCAAGAGATACGAGGTGTGCCTCGGGCAAAACCACCCGTCTCTTTGGAGGATCGTGATCCTCCTATGTTAGTTTGTGAATAACATAAAATCTCCTCGGTTCACCCTCGGCCACCTACTCCGTCTGTACAGTCCCTAAATTTTTCGAGGGGGACTAATCAAGATCGTTCGCAGGGCCAACAAGGCTCCTTTTTTGAGCATCGGTGAGGATCGAGACCAAGGCTGGCAGGGGCGCTTTGTTCGGGTAAAAACTGAAGATTTGATTCCTCCCGAGTTCCTGCCATTTCCCGAGAAGTGAAACGCATCTCGTAAGTGTAATCTTTCCTTAAGTGTCAATTCTCCTTTGTTTCCTTTCTCACCATCAGTATTTGTGGTCGTGCAGCTGTTGCCAGGGTTCCTAATGCGGTCCCCCCGCTCAAGGAGTGGATCGAAGGCATCTGTAAGCAAATGTCATACTTCGAGTGCACGTGGCGCAAACTTTTGAAGGGCAGATGGGAGGTCCGTTCTCATGGTAAGACTTTCCTCTAAATAGTTATTACTATGCCTTACACGACGCTGATCTTTTCTCTTCCCTTCGCAGGTTTGCCTAAGACCACTAAACTTACAAGAAGGGACGAGGATGCATCCTTATTTGTTGATCCCTCCGTTACGGGACAGCCTGGGGCTGTCGTGGGGGAAGAGAAGAAAAGAAAAAGAAAATCCTCGGGCTCCCCGGGTCCCGAGGTGAAGCAAAAAAAGAGGGCGGCTTCCCGGGCTTGTAACCCTAAGAATAATACCAAGTTCCGAGTGCCGGACTCTGGCTTGCTTCACTGGCTCAGGGATGAGTCTAAAGAAGATGACATCTTTGTTGCTCACAAATTGACCCCTGCCAAGGAGTAGGCGGCAACCGAGGAAAGGAGCCACGAGGCCGATCCCCTTCTAACTCGAGAGGCTGAAGTGGAGACAGGGGCTGCGACTTCTCGAGAAGCCATTCTGTTCCGAAGGAGGCGACCTGTGTGATAGACACCATCGAGACGCCCTCCTATGCCGATTCCATGCTTGAAGAGGCCAAAGTTGGTAAGGAAAAGTCAGGTGAAGGAGTTAAAGGCACAGACGACCCTCTCCACTCCTTCTTTGATGGCGTGGACATGTCCACTTTGGAAGACTTTTCTGGGCTGGGCGACCTAAACATCTTGAAGAAGGACGCACCCTCGAAAGTTGGCGGGCGGAGTTCGAGCCCAAAACTGGTGAAATAGTTTCCCGCTCTGAGTGTGGACCCCGACCGCAAAAGGACAGTCATTCTTGCAATACCGAAGGATGCTCAGGTTCTATCCACTCCAGTGGGCATAGCCAACTACCTCTGATGCCCGGTGACTGAGGTGGACCAGGCAAAGATGAATGAGGTGGGAGTGTCAAGTCTCTTCAACGAGGCACAACAGACGCTGAACCAGGTAAGGCACCAATACTCTCTCGCGAATTCCACTTAGGTTTCGATATCTCTTACTATTTTCGTTGTTCTACATCCCTCGGGGCTTCACCATGAGAGCTTCCTTCGGTACCGCATTGAAATCAACCAGATCGAGTTCGAGCTCAAGGAGAAGGTTTGGAAGAAGGATATGTACAGGCTTCTCAGTAAGCAACAGGACGGGGCCGTCAAGGATCTTCAGGCTGAGCTGGACAGGGTTCAGAAGGAAGCTTCGACCATGAAGCGGGAACATGCCGACCTAGTTGAAAAGGTAAAGGTCTTTGAAGTTAAAAATGAGGAGCTAGTCGTGGTACTAACAACAAAACCTCGCAGGTCCAACAGAAGATCGACCTGATCGACCAACTCCAAGTCGAGATGAACGAGGTCCAGGCCATGACCGATGGGTGGAAAAGCAAAATGGACATGCTTGCTTCGGAGAAGGAAACCGCAAAGGCGAATCTGGCATCGGTTGATAACCAACTCCCATTGGCGAAAGACAAAGCTGACAAGTGGTCTCAGCTGAATGACAATCTCCGAGTATAGTTGAGCTTGGCTATCGCAGAACTGGACACCCTCGGTAGAGAATATGAGGCTGTGAAGTACAAATTAGACACAACTTACGCCGATTCCAAAGTAATGGTGGCCAATACAAGGCCGATGTGGAGGCAGCCGAGACCCGCTTGAAGGCAAAGGCCAAATATATGAAGCGGTTGTCCCAAAGAGAGACCCGCGAAGAGATTCACGCCCGAGGTTTTAACATTTTAGCTAA